GTGTGGGCGGGGTGGGGGTGGAGGGGCACACACCTGGACTCCCTGTATGTCGAGGCCGCGCGCCGCCACATCTGTGGCCAGCAGAAACGCGATGGACCCGGCCCTGAACTTCTCCAGCGACTCCAGGCGCGCGGCCTGGGTCATGTCCCCGTGGAGCTCGCCTGGCGGAGGTTACGGGGGTTTGCGGGGGGTTACGGGAGGTTATGAGTTGTCAGTGGGGGGTTGGGTGTTGGTAGATGAGAGGTTCCCGCGTGTGTGACAAGAGGTTGCAGGAGGTTGGTTGGAGGGGCCGACGACGGTGGGAGCGGGGGTTGCGTGGCTGGGGCCCGGCGGGCGATCCGGGGGCGGGGGACGGAGATGCGGGGTGCACGTGCGAGCCTGGAGCAATGGACAGGGGAGGCCAGCAGGAAACAACGGGCGGCGGGCTGCTTGGGCGTTTGGAAGAGATGAAAAGCGCAAAAGAAAGAGAGAATGTAGTAGTGCGCGGATGTCGCGCGCCGATGGAGCGCGGGGGCCCTAAAAGGGGCGAGCGACGCGCTCGAGAGGCGGGCGGGGTTGCTCTGGGTCTGGCGACTAGCCGGCACGCCATCGCGCGCCGGGCCGCCGCGGGGGACCCGCAGCGGGGCGGGGCGTGCCGGCACTCTGGCCGACCGTGCGGTTCCCATGCGTACGCAACGCATAGAATATTCAATGCGCAGAGTAGAAAAACGGGGCATTGGCGCCCCGTCCCCAACCCAGTCCTGAGCTACTAGTGTAACCCGTGTAACCCGTGTAACCCGCCCCAAAAGCGCACACGGGGCCGGCAGGGCGTGCCAACACCAGGCTAGAGCTGTCGACTGGGGGACCCCGACCTGCCACACTCAACGAAATCAGATTCAACCCACGCCTAGAACCAAAAGCCTCCTCTCAAAACACACCCAACACGATCGGCCCAAAACACCCCACAGCGCGAGGGCGGGGCCGCGCGGCACCCACCCGCCGGCGGCAGCTTGCAGAGGCCGAAGAGGATCTTGAGCCTGTGCGCCTTCTGCTTGGTGGCGGTGAACACGATGGTGCGGCCCTGGGAAAAGGAGCGCGCGCAGAGGGCCAGGAGAACAGCCTCCTTCTGGGACACCTGGCTGCCCTGTTCATTTTCGAGGGCGAGTTGGGGGTGGGAGGGGGGCCGGGGGGTTCAGGGCTTGACACTGGGATTGCTTGGTTGATTAGTGGGGGATGGAAGCAACGGTCACAGGTGCGCGAGGCCCGGGGTGGAGCCTTGGGCGGACGGAGCGACATTGCCTGGTTGCGGGCGCGGGGCGCAGCAGGCGGCAGACACCGCCATGTGCGGTGAAAGCAGGGCGGAGCAGGCTGGAACCCCGCGCAGCTGGCAGGCGCTGCAGGGAATCCCTAGGGTTCCCGAACCCTGTCAGCCCTTGCTGGGCGCATCTCCCGCCTTTTCCCACAAGGGGCCGCACCTTGAGCCGGACGACCTCCTGCACCAGGCTCTTGGGCGCCGCCGCCGCCGCGTCGGCCGCTAGCCGCACGGGCTGCTTCAGGCTGAGGGCCATGAGGTCGCGCACCTGGCAGGGGTGACGGGTGACGTCATCGGGTGACGCCGGCGGGTGACGTTGGTGAGTGACAATGGCAGGTGAAATTGCCAGGTGGATATGCGAATTGTTTCGAGGGACTTCGGCGCCGAGCGGCGCGGCCGGGGCCGCGACCGCGGCACGCGCGCGCGCCGCCGCGTGCTTGGCGGCCTGGAGCGGCGGCGGCCAAGGCGGCAAGTGCGCCGGGCGCGGGGCGCGTGACGCGCCGCGCCGCCTACCTGTTCGCTGAAGGTGGCCGAGAAGAGCATGGTCTGGCGCTTCTTGGGGGCGAGCCGCACAATCTCGGCCACCTGCAGAACAATGAATTGTGAATAGCAGTAGTTGGGAAAGCAAGGCTGTGGAGCTGGAGAGGTTTGAAGACCAGCGTCAAAACAAAACTCAGGTGTGCATGTTGCGAGAGCAGCGAGCTCGCGGGTGGTGCGTCAGTTGCAACTAATCGCAGGTCCAGCTGGGCGCTCATACAGCCCCCTAGCCTCTTACACCCCAAGAACACCCCCTCCTTGCAACGCAGCGAGCCGCGGATGCCCGCCCCGCAGCCCTGAAGGACCATAAACGACCCCAAACGACCCTGGACCCTTTGGCCCGTTAAGCCCTGAACCCCACCTCCTCCTTGAAGCCCATCTCCAGGAGCCTGTCGGCCTCGTCAAGCACCAGCACCGCCAGG